AAATGTCAAAAGAGAGCTTAATTTGTAAATAAAAACACGCTTTCAACTCTAGGGATTCTATTGATTCACTTGAGTTTGGACCTGTAAATACAGCTTTCCTTGAATTTATTAGGAGCAAAAATGAATAATTTCTTACTTATTTCATTGTACTTGGTACTTAACAAAGACAGTAGCAGTCAAAGTATATCTTCAACTGTTCATACAATTATTAAAAATGGAACTCTGCCTTTTGAATGCCTATTAATTTATTCGTAGTTATAACTCTTTTCATAGCAAGTACCTCATATTTATTCTTTAGTTTGACATATGTTTGTGAAGGTTAATTTAGAAACAATTATGTTATTGTCTTGATATTGAGATCATACTTTTAATAATTTGGTTCATTGATTTCCATATTCAGCTGGGTTTGGCAACTTTAGATTGCTGTCACTTGTGTTTTAAATTATTAATTAGTTTTTAAAATTAATGTTTGAACAAATTAAATATACAGAGAATATATTAAATAGAAGTCATGTTAAAGGGACTTTGTTTTAGAATTTTATAAGACAATCAGATGACTTTATTTTTTAGACTAGGCAGAGCTTTGAGCTGATCTTAAAACTATGTATTGAAACAAATCATTATTGATTAACTATTAATTTAAAGTTAGGTGGCAGCACACATATATTTTAAAATTTGCTTTCTAAAAATAATTTTGGAATTTTCTTTTTTAGGACAAAGTGAAATGTGTGTATTTATTGGAGATTTTCCTCATTTTCCTCTCTTTCTCTCTTTCTCTTTTTTTGTGTGTGTGTAAGATACATTCATGTTTTTATAGGATGCCTACAATGGGTAAGAAAATAAAGTATCACAATGATTTAGAGTCATTACAAATACCTATATATTGGAATCATTGTGAGGCTAATTATTAATTATTGAGTGAGTGATTGAACTTGAATATATTGCTCTTGACTACATCTTTGATATAAATCTCAGGAAGTTCTTAGTTCCTTTTGATAATAAAAAAGTATTATTCTTTCAAATAAGACAGTTTTTAAAATCTTGGTTGACTTAATAACTACATGGTAATAAAAATCCTTAGAATTGAGTTTTAACTTTCTTTTTGTATTTGTATGCAGTTTGAATATGTATATTGAGCACTGATTAACCTTAACTTTTTGGCTTTTTAGAGTCCACATTATAAGGTATCTTGAAAATACTTTGTTTAAAGGGTAAATACCTTGTATTTAGAATACTATAAAAACATATAACAGGCCATTATGAAAAGAAAGACCCAAATTTTTCTACTCTTTTTGTTTTAATAACTTTATTTTAAAATATGTTAATAAACTTCTAAGTATATTCTGTAAATGATGTGGACCCCGGCTTACAAAGTCCTTGTGTTGTGGTTGTGACTAACAAATTCACACGGACTAAAGAAGTCCTGTGGAGAAAAAGGGACAGTGTGGCCACTCTCAGTGAGAGAGGGCCGCGACCCTTGCCTAGACAGGCTTTAATTGCATTTCTGGGCACATTACATCAAGGATGATCCTCATTCACTATGCACAGGTTCGATTTAGGTGGTTACCTTTTATAGAAAACAAGGAGAGGATGTTGCTAATTACATCAAACAAGAAGGATATTTGCAAATGCAAAGGGAAAAGTGTTTGAACTGTTTACACTCAACCTTGGGAGGTTTAGCATGATTTTAGGAAGTCACTTTAAAGATATGCAGTAAACATTTGCTGCCTCCATTCAGGGTGAGGGAGTTTTAGCAAAAGCCAGCCTCACAGCAGCCTAAGTAAAATGCAGGCCTGATTTCCCTCGGGAAAACCTATCAGTGAGTGTGGGTCCTGTGTGCCAGCTTCGTTCCCCACTGGCCTTTCTGAGTCGGGGCTGGGCTACATTTCCCACTGCCATGTGGAACAGTCCCCTATTTGGAAAGTGGAATTTTCTGATAACTAAATGTTGTGTTTTTGTTTAACTTTAAAATCTCTAGACATTGAACATAGTGTATAGCTGATAGTCTAGCTTGATACATTTTAAATAAAATAAATGCATGCACAAAAGTAAATTCAAGGTGGATAAAAGATTTAAATAGAAGTAGTGACATCATTAAAGTCCTAGAGGAGAACATAGGCAGGAAAATATCACATATTTCACGCAGCAGTATTTTCACTAATATGTCCCCTAGAGCAAGGGACATAAAGGAAAGAGTAAACAAATGGGATCTCATCAAAATAAAAAGCTTCTGCACAGCTAAAGAAAACAGTATTAAAATAAAAAGAGAACCAACTGTATGGGAAAACATACTTGCCAATGATACCTCAGACAAGGGTTTAATCTCCAAAATATATAAAGAACTCACACGACTCCACTCTAAGAAGACAAGCAACCCAAGTAAAAAAATGGCAAAGGACTTGAACAGACACTTCTCCAAAGAGGACATACAGAGGGGCCAAAGACACGTGAAAAGATGCTCAGTATCTCTAGCTATCAGACAGATGCAAATTAAAACCACAATTAGTTACCACTTCACACCAATCAAATGGCCATCATAAACAGAGCAACAAACAAGTGTTGGAGAGGTTGTGGAGAAAAGGAAACCCTAGTGCACTGTTGGCGGGATTGCAGACTGGTGTAACCACTATGGGAAGCATTGTGGAATTTTCTCAGAAAACTAAAAATGGATCTGCCTTTTGGTCCAGCAATTCCACTGCTAGGATTATATCCTAAGAATTCTGAAACACCAATCTAAAAGAACCTATGCATCCCAATGTTCATAGCATCACAATTGACAATAGTCAAGTGCTGAAAGCAACCTAGGTGCCCATTAGTAAATGAATGGATCAAAAAACTATGGTACATTTACACAATGGAATTCTATGTGGCAGAAAGAAAGAAGGAGCTCCTACCCTTTGGGACAGCATGGATGGAAGTGGGAAGCATTATGCTAAGTGAAATAAGCCAGGTGGTAAAAGACAAATACCATATGATCTCACCTTTAACAGGAACCTAATCAAAAAAACAAAGAAACAAGCAAAATATAACCAAAGACACTGAAATAGAGAACAGGCTAACAGTGACCAGAGGGGAGAGGGGAGGGAATTTCAGGGGAAAAGGGGAAAGGTTTGCAGGAACAAGTATAAAGGACACACCGACAAAAGCAAGGGGAGGTGGAAACTGGAGGGAGGTGGGGAGGATGGGTGGGTGGGTGGGTTGAGATGGGGGTAGAAGACAGAAAACTGTACTTGAACAACAATTAAAATAAAATAAAAATAAAAAATAAAAGTTACATGGAAGTAAATTTTCCCAAACGCAGCCAAGGCAATCATGAAGAACAGTGTATGAAGACTGGCTCTGAAAGATGTAAAGACATATTAAAATATCATAAAATAAATAAATACATACATACATACATACATGGTTTAAAATTCTGGATTCAGGGTGACTTAGATGAATATGGGGACATATCCGGTTTGTTTTGCTGTTATAACATCTACCAAATTTTACTACATCTCTGCTTCCTTTGGTGCCAGTACTTGCTCATGGAATTTATTATTTAGTTTTTGAAATAGACTATTTTTTCAAAACATGTATTGAAAGAATGTGAAGTATATACAATAGCATTGTTTAGTCTTGGTAGTATATTATTTCAGCGTACTGCACTTTACTAATCACACATTAGTTTTAGTATCAGAATATTTAGAGAAAGTCTGGAGACTTTTTAGTGTTATTGAAAACATGAAATTAAAGTTGTCTGCCATCAGTTTGGGTTGAACAAACTTACAGACAAAATTTGGCTTTCTCCTCAAAACTTCATTGGAGCAGGTAGTAAGACTTAAAAACTCCATAAGAAATTGACAAGATTTCCAAGATGGCTGTAAAGTAGATGAAAGCTGCATCCATTTCCTTTCCACCCTAAACCGATTTACAGCTAAACTGCAGATCAATCAACCTGACAACGAACTGAAAGCTAGCTGATATAAAATATTATAACCAAGGAGTACAGAAAATGCTACATAGAGACTGGCAAGAAGGATTCAGACATAGTGGGAAAAAGCCCCCACATGCAGATGTGGTAGCAGCTGGAAAGTTGGAGATACATCATGGCTATGGAACTCCCTCCCACTCGGAGCATGGAATCTTAAACCACATGCAGTGATCCCCAGCCCAGAGCAACAGAGATGGACAGAAGAGTCTGTATAGCATCTGGTGGTGGAAATCGGTGGGGATTTATCCTGCCTGGGAGACTCAGAGCACACCCTCAAAGGATAGAGCACCTTGTTGGTTTTCAGTCTAGTTCAACTGTGTGCTTAAAACAAACCAATAGTTTTTCAAATTTTGAAGTGTTGTAATAGTTGAACTATTATATATTTTTTTTTGCTAAAAAAACTTTAATACTAAAATCTAATTGCCTCATTTGAGGGAATAATTTGACTGTAATTGTTAATTCCAAATTTAGTTATTCTATTTATGTCTTTAAGTTTATTTTGTCACCAGACAATTGCCTACATTTGAACATGAGGCAAGAGAATGTGTATCTTATATCAAAGAACATCGAATGAAGCCCCCTTGGATCATTTTTGTTTACTCTTTTACCCTTACATTATGTTAAGGTCATTTATTTGGCCGTAGGATTCTCATACCTCTTTATCAGAACTCAAATTGATATTTCATATCTTGTATTAAGTGTGATGACTTACTTAATTTTTTCTAAAAAGTAGTAGTTGTAAGTAATACATAGTCTAAAATTTTTATTCAGAACATTTTATAAATACTTAAAATTTTGGAGGGGCTTCCAAGGTAATTTCTTTAGTAACATTTTTGCACTGAGATTATAATTTTTTAAAGTATAGTATGCTTGGAACCAGTCCAAATGTATAAATAAAAATATTTAACTTGCTAATTTATGTTGACCTATTATCTGTCAACCCCTCTTTATAAAATGTTGGGAACTGATAATTATGTAGAGATCCAAAAGTACAGTTAACTTAATTCATTTTTTTCCTTGTTTTTAGTGGGAGATTTTGATAAGATCTGGAGAGAACATTGTGAGGATGAGGAAACACTTTGTGAATATGCTGTTGCAATGAAAAATTTGGCAGATAATCATTGGGCAAAAAGTTGTGAAGGTGAAGGTCGTATTGAATGGTGTTGTAGGTGAGTGTTTTTATGAACTAACATGTTTGGTTTCTAATGTATTGTTGACACTCTCAAATTTAAATAACACTGTATATAATTTATTGTACCAAAATGGGAGTATTTGGAAACAATTGATGTTTTTTAAATAACTTCTCACCCCTTGGTTCACTTTCTCTAGGTTTATTTCATTCCTTTTTAAATCAAAAGGTATTTCTCTGATATAATTTAAAATTTTCTGCTTCAACTTTATTTAAAAGAATAGCTTTAAATACATTTAACATATTTAACATTAATCCAATAAAATATGAAAATTAACCGGACTCATCATTAGTAACTTAGAAGATAGAAATTTCTCTAGATAAATATCCATATTTAGATTCAAGTAGAAGTGAGTATTTTTCTATAATTTAAAATTTGAAAACTTCTGATAAGTTTCAAAATCCTGAATTTTTGGTGTGTGATTCAGGGTATTCCAGCACTTATATTGACTTTGGGGGATGTTTATTTTCTAATAGTATAGATCCTAATGTTAAAAACATGAGAAAATAAAATACTGATGATAATTTTTCCAACGTGATAAAACTATAAGAATGGATATATATGTTAACTGGATTTTAAAATGAACTCCCAGAAAACAAATATTATCCTTTAACGTGGACAATAAGTTTACAATAACATCAGCTTTATATATTTTTAACATGATTTATTAAAAAAGATTTGCCTTATTTATTTTTAGACCTAGGGGAAGGGTAGAAGATAGGGAGGGAGAGAAACATCAATGTGTGGTCACCTCTTACACATCCCATACTGGGGACCTGGCCCACAACCCAGGCATGTGCCCTGACTAGAAATCAACCAGCAACCCTTTGGTTCTCAGGCCAGTGCTTAATCCACTGAGCTACACCAGCCAGGGCTAGGTTTATATTTTATATCAAATTTTTCTTCAAAATTTTTATGTTAATCTCATTTAAAATTATGTAATAGTGTCCATTTCATTCATTCAACAAATGATTCAGAGAAAAAGATGTATTTATATTATCTTATTTATTTAATAATATTTTTTAGCATTGTCTACTGTGTACCTGTCATACCATACATAGAAAATGGGAGTACAACAATGAACCAAACAGACAAAATCTGTGCTCTCACGTAGCGTATATGCTAGTGGCAGTTAGAGACAAGAAACAGCATGTAAAGTAAATAGGTCAGAAATACTAAGTGCCATGAAAAAAAACAAAGGAAAAATAAAAGAGTTTTAAATAGGGTAGACAGAGAAGGCCTTACTGAAATGATATGTATAAAATGCCTAAAGGAAGTGAGAGCACAAGACCCAACAAGTCTAAAGCCCTTGAGGCAGGACCATGCTGGCATGTTTCAGATAGAGCAAGGAGACCACTGGTGTGGCTAGAGCAGAATGAGAAGGGGAGCATGGTAGAAAACAAGATAATAAATAGCTAGATTTTTAGTTTTTTGAGGAAACTCTATACTGTTTTTCACAGTGGTTGTACCAGTCTGCATTCCCACCAACAACATACTAGAGTTCCCTTTTCTCGACAGCCTCCCCCGTACTTGTTGTTTGTTGATTTGGTTATGATGGTCATTCTGACTGGTGTGAAGTGGTATCTCACTGTGCTTTTAATTTGCATCTCTCTGATGGCTAGTGATACTGAGCATCCTTTCGTATGTCTCTGGCCCTCTGTCTGTCCTCCTTGGAGGAGTGTCTGTTTAGGTCCTTTGCCCATTTTTTAATTGGATTGTTTGTCTTCCCTGAAATACCAGTTCAAAAGAACCTGTACACCTCAGTGTTCATAGCAGTGCAATTTACAATAGTCAAGTGCTGAAAGAAACCTAAGTGCCCACCAGTAAATGAGTGGATTAAAAAAACTATGGTACATTTACAAAATGGAAACCTACACAGCAGAAAAGGAGGTTCAACCCTTCACAACAGCGTGAATGGGACTAGAGAGTATTATGCTAAGTGAAATAAACCAGGTAGTAAAAGATAGATACCATATGATCTCAACTATAAGTGGAACCTATTCCGCAAAGCAAACAAGCAAGCAAAATAGAACCAGGGACATTGAAACAGAAGACAAACTGATAGTAACCAGAGGGGTGGGGGCGGGGGGGATGATAACCAGGGAAAGAAGGAAAGGGTTGTCAGGAACATGTATAAAGGGCACATGGACAAAGCCAAAGAGGGGTAGGATTGAGAGTGGGAGGTGGGGGAGGGGGAGAGAGGGGAGAGTGGTAATGGGAAAATGGAGACAACTGTATTTGAACAACAATTAAAAAAACAGCTAGATTTTGTAGGGGCTGGGGACCATTATGAAGACATTGGCATTTTATTCTACATGAGATGAGAACTTGGATGTTTTAAGAAGAGGCGTAATAGGTTTTTATTAGCATTTTAAAATGTCAATAGTTATTAAGAATTAATTGTTGTGTTAAGGTAGACTATAGGAAGGGTACAAAGGTATAAGTAAAGAAACTAGTTTGGAGGCTACTGCAATAATCAAGACACAAAATTATAGTGAAATAGTTTTTCTTAGAGAGTGAGGAAGTGAGTGAATGGATAAGACAGTGTAGTAGGATTACTGCTCAAATTAGTATAATGATTTAGAGACAAAAAGATGATGGTGCATATATTGTGATGATTATGATAATATGTAAGATGGAAATTGAATGTGAGAAGGGTGAGGAGCAGTGAAAAGGTGGTAGGTACCCTTACTGGATTCTGGAATCAAAGAACTATGGAGTTGGGGAAACTATAGGAAGGAACCAAAATAATAGGAAATGGGATATTTGAAATTAAAGTGTCTGGGGATTTTGGTTTGGTTCTACAGAGAAAATGGTTATAAATCTGACTTTGCTACAGAATATGCATTTTCTTCTTCAGCTAAGAAAATGAAGTACTGGTACTTCATTTGAAGAAATGAAGAAATGGTACTTCTGAACCAAATATTTCCCTTGTAACACAAAAATAATAATGTAATCCAGTCAGAAAATCAGCACTATCACTATTTAAGACCATCATTCTTGGCTCTTAGCAGCTCTGCTTTTAAATGAGTATTACAGTATGTAAGGCAAGCTCTCAGACTTTATTTCTTAAATGGACTTTGATATGTGGTATTCTCTCTCTTTTTTTTCTTTTTTTTTGTTTACTGTTGTTCAGTTACAGTTGTCCCCATTTGCTCCCCATTACTCTCCCCCAAAGTACCCCATGTTCCACATATGTGGTATTCTCATAGGAGTATTTGTTTGTTGTACCATTCGTTTGAATAATGAACTTGCTCCCATCTCACTCTTTTTTTTCTTTAAATACATGTTTTTATCAATAGATATTGTATCCACATGTGTTCTAAAGTAGGTCATTTTTAGGTCAAACTGCTGAATAGTAATAAGAATTTAGGTGGAGTAAGATGGCGTCTGCTAGCAGGGTCGTTCAGGTAGTCAAGACACATACTCCATTAATAAGGTTCCCTAACAGAAGAGACCATCCTAAACCCAATGTATCAGAAATTCTGAGATCAGCAGAACTACCATCTCACTCTTCTTCAATTTCACAGCATTTTAAGGGAAGTAAATCGCCAGATTGGCTGATGCATCAGGGTCCACCAGACACTACAGAAATAATAAAAACATTACCTCAGAAATATAGAAGGAAGCCTATGTCTCAAGAAGAAATGGAATGTATCCAGCGTGGAGGTCCAGAATAATCACTGACAGTGGCTGCTGTTCGTCATCACACAAAAGGATAGTCTTTACAATAAAGGACTTCCAACATGACAAATGAGAAATTGTAGATTAAACAACCTTAATAAATATTCTGTAAACAAAAAACTATATAGAAAATTCAGATGGACACATAACATCTCATAATTTATGTATCTTGGTCAGCTCCTCCTTAAGCTTACGTAATTGTTTATATACTTTATACTTATTTAAAGTACACATTTAAAATGTTAGCCTATTATTTTACTCTTAATTATTAAGTATTACTAGTGTTAAACTATTAAAAGCACATGATGTCTAGTAAATTATCATAGATTTCCCATAATTTCACTTTTCTTTCAGTTTCTGTTTAGATATGAATTTATCAGGCAAAATTGCTGTTTTTTGGAAGTGATTTTCCTGAAATTGGATGAGCGCCAGTGAAATAATGGCTCCATTATTTATTGTTAATTCTCTTAAAATTTTTTTCATTCACAAAGTTACTGGAGTATAACTGGATTAATAAGCACATCTTACTCTGAAAGATAAAAATATAGCCAAAGTAAAACCAGTGACTTTGTGCTAGTAAGACAGGGGAGTTAACACAAAAGATTATTTGTCACCTATTTTTAGAAAAAAAGTCAGTATAAAATCAGACATCAAAATGAATACAGTATAGGTATAAATGTTTGACCAAAAATGGCAATTTCTTATGTTTTTAGGGGTATTAAGACAGTGTTGTTCTTTGGTTTATTTTGCTTTTGATTGTAATAATGTATGCAAATCCTGGTAAACATTAATTTTCTCAAACTTAATGTCTGAAAGCTTCATAAAATCAACCTAAATATTTACCTTAAGGTAATTTACAAAACTTTAAAAAGGTCTTCCTGTGCCAAGAGTATATATTATTGTGGAAGTAAAGTCTTGTAAAGTGAAATAAATTTTCTCCCATCCTTTACAAAAAAAAAAAGAATTTAGGTCAAACTTCTGAAAAAGAACAGTGACAAACTATGGTAAAAAGATTTTACTGTGGGAAGTAATCCCAAGAGGAGTTTTATAACTTCTACTTTAAACTTAAAAGAAGGTTGGAGGGAAAGTCTTCAAAACAATATTGTGACTTATTTATATAACTTGGATTATATATAATTCCTTTCTTTCTTGATAGTTGTAAAACAGCAGTGTCACTGTGAAAGCTAAAGTGGGCTTTAAAAAGGGTTTGATAAAAGTTTGTTTACAGTTATTTATGCTTAAACCTTTATAGGAATGGCATGTGAGATAAGTCTTATTGACATTATCTTGTTAAGAATTTGTTGATTGGTTAGCTTGAAGAACTCTGCATATTCTAAAATGTAATAAAATTTGGTTTGTAATACCAAGTATTAAAAACTAGAAACAAAATACAATATAAAAGTATAATTGGGACTTCTGGCCAAGATGGAGGTGTAGTTAGACACACTGTGCCTCCTCGCACGACCAAATTAAGGACAACAAAAATTAGAAACAAAAGAAAACAACCAGAACTGACAGAAAATTGAACTGTACAGAAGTCCAACAACCAAGGAGTTAGACACATTCATCCAGGCCAGTAGGAGGAGCGGAGTTGGGCAGTCGGGCAGAGAGGGGTCGCAGCAAAGGCTTGCGGACCGGCACACAAGGCAGCAGCTGACCAACCCCGGGCGCCAGTGCAGGGTGGGAGAGGGCAGACCCAGTGAGGTGCGCAGGGCAACTGGCTGGCCAAGCAGTCCCACATTCTCGCAGACAAACCAGGTGAAGTTGGAGAGCAAGACAGACTGAGCAGCCCAGGGCCCCAGCTCAGGGGAAATAAAGCCTCAAGACACCGATTGAAAACACCTGTGGGGGTTGAGGCAGTGGGAGAAACCCCCAGCCTCACAGGAGCGTTTGTTGGAGAGACCCACAGGGTCCTAAAATGTACACAAGCCGAACCACCCCGGAATCAGCACCAGAAAGGCCCAGTTTGCTTGAGGGAAGAAGCAGAAGGGACTAAAATCAGACAGAGAGTGGAACGGGTGCCATTGTTCCCTCTCTGACCCCACCCCCACACACAGTGACACAACCCAGCTACTGGGCTGACCTGCCCTGATGAACACTTAAGTCTCCGCCCCTCATACCTAACAGGCACAATAAGACCAAAAAAGAGGGGAGGGGGACAAACAGAACAGATCAAAGCCTCAGAGAAAATACTTTTAAGAGACAAAGAGCCAACCTATCACATGCACTGTTCAAAGCACTGGTGATCAGGGTGCTCACAGAATTGGTTGCTTTTGGTTGCAAACTGTTTGAAAAAATGAAGGCCACACTAAGTGAAATGAAGGAAAATGCACAGGAAACCAATAGTGATGGGAAGAAAACTGGGACTCAAATCAATGGAGTGGACCAGAAGGAAGAAAGAAACAACCAAACAGAAAAGAATGAAGAAATTATAAGAACTCAGAAAAAGGAGGAGAGGCTTAGGAACCTCCAGGACATCTTGAAACATTCCAACATCCGAATTATAGGGGTACCAGAAGGGAAAGAGGAAGAGCAACAAGTGGAAAAGTTATTTAAACAAATAATGAAGGAGAACTTTCCCAATCTGGCAAAGGAAATAGACTTCCAGGAAGTCCAGGAAGCTCAGAGTCCCAAAGAAGTTGGACCCAAGGAGGAACACACCAAGGCACATCATAATTACATTACCGAAGATTAAAATGAAGGAGAGAATCTTAGAAGCAGCAAGAGATAAGGGGACAGTAACCTACAAAGGAGTTACCATCAGACTGTCAGCTGATTCCTCAAAAGAGACCTTACAAGCAAGAAGGGGCTGCAAAGAAGTATGCCAAGCCATGAAAGACAAGGACCTACATCTAAGATTGCTGTATCCAGCAAAGCTTTCATTTAGAATGGAAGGGCAGATAAAGTGCTTCCCAGATAAGGTCAAGTTAGAGGAGTACATCATCGCCAAGCCCTTAATTTATGAAATATCAAAGGGACTTATCTAAGAAAAAGAAGATAAAAAACATGTATAGTAAAATGACAGCAAACTCACAATTATTAACAACCACACCTAAAGCAAAACCAAAACAAACTAAGCAAACAACTAGAACAAGAGCAGAACCATAGAAATGGAGATTACATGGAGGGTTATCAACAAGGGAGTGGGAGGAAGAGAGAGGGGGAAAAGGTACAGAGAATAAGTAGCATAGATGGTAGGTAGAAAATAGGGGGAGGGCAAGAATAGTATGGGAAATGTAGAAGCTAAAGACCTTATGACACATGGACATGAACTAAAGTGGGGGAATGTGGGTGGGAGGGGGTGTGCAGGGTGGAGGGGAATGAAGTGGGGGAAATGGGACAACTGTAATAGCATAATCAATAAAATTGTTTTTAAAGGTATGAATTGTATGTTCAATAAAATAATTTGACTTTTCTAACACTTTACACAGAGAAACATATACACTATTTCCTGAGCCACTTGAAAGTAAATAGCAGATAACATTTCAACCTAATAACATCTCTTCTAAGAATAAGGACATTCCTCTGCATATTTATAATATTATCATTATATTAAGACAACAGTAATTCCGCCCCTGGCTGGCATAGCTCAGTGGATTGATCGCGGGCTGGGAACCAAAGTGTCCCAGGTTTGATTCCCAGCCAGGGTACATTCCTGGGTTGCAGGCCATAACCCCCAGCAACCGCACATTGATGTCTCTCTCTCTCTCTATCTCCCTCACTTCCATCTCTAAAAATAAATAAATAAAATATTAAAAAAAAAGACAACAGTAATTCCCTAAAATATCCTGTTCATAAATTCATGTTTTTCTTATTCTCCCCAAAGTGTACTTTATAATTTGTTTGTTTTTTTTTTTTAATCCAGTTAGGGCTCCTGCATTGCATTGGGTGATTATATTTCTTTTGGTTCACATTTTTGTTTTCCATTAATGTTGAATTTTTAAGTAAATATGTTTTGTGAAATAGCTCACATTCATAGATTTGAACATGTTTGTGATTATTGGTTCAAGGTGGTTAATAGCATTTTTCAAATATTCTATATTTCCTCACTAATTTTTCTTTTTGGCTTTTCACTTTTTCAATTACCAAGAGAGGTGTTTTCAAGATACTATTTTTCTCAATTTTTCTGTAACAATTATTTGGCTCTTCTTTAGAAATTTCATTTTTCTATTGAAGTTCTTCATATTTTCATCTATTTAGTTAATCTTTTTTTCTATTAAAAAATTAATACAGTTGCTTTAAAGTCCTTGTCTCCTTATTCCAACATGTAGTTTATCTGTGGGTCTGTAACTTCTGGATGGGTTATTTTTGGTTATGGATCATCTTTATTTGCTTCATTTATGACTGTTAATTTTACACACACACACACACACACACACACACACTGGAATTGTACTTAGAAGAGACTGGTGTAAATATTATTTTTTCCTAGAGAAGGAATGCTTTTTTCTGATATGCAGCTAGGATGAGATACAGAATGTTTTGATCCCAACAGATGTTAAACTAGATTGAGAGGGTGGATTACCTCCTTAGATAGTTTCAGTTCACCTGTGGCATCAGTTACTTTGAGAGTGAGTCCTGTTCTATATATATATTAAAAATGTCCTCTAGTAGAACTCTTTGACCTAAGCCCAAGGAAGAGTGCAGAGAATGTTCTCTGCTTTTTAGTTGCACTCCAAGCCTCCATTGCTGCCCCCTGTACTTGAAGAGCTATAGAGGTATAAAGAAGGAGAATGAGGAGCACAATCTCTGCATTTGGATTTCTTAAATATTCCAGTCTGTCACATGATTCTAAGGAGGCATTAAAAGCTCTGCTGGTTCCTGTTTAATAGAACAGAATTTCTCTACCATGGAAGGCTTGATACTGTGCATCCCATGCAGTATTTCAACAAATGCCCAAAGTGCCTGTGGTGATCCCTTCCCATCTAGAAAGGGCTTGTGTCCCTGAATTCAGTTTCTTTAAACCCCCTTGCACCCTCAGCTCTCTCGATTTCTTTTTAATATATTGCTTTTTTAAACTATATAGTTTCTTTTTCTACTTACAGCATAACCAGATATCTTTTCTGATTATATTCTTATCCAAAATTAGCTTTGTGTCCTGTTGTAGATATAT